CCATTTTGTTTTAACAATTTTTTTGTTAATTATTTTTATTATTTAAAATTTATTACTTTAATTTGTCATTTTTTTTTAAATTCTAATCTAATTAATTTAAAATTATATGCCCCTCAATGTTTCTATACATTTTTTTTCAATTTATTACTTTACAATTTATTTATTTATTACGTCCTTATGTTAATAATTAATGTGAATTGTTTATAAATTCAATCGTTAGATCTACTTTTTAATTTTATCTAAATCTAACATTTTTAGAGCGTGTTCATATACTAGTGTTTAACTTATATCTAAAATTTCGTAATTATTGGAGTTCATTTGCTATTAATGTTTACAATTTATTTATATATTATGACCTTATGTTAATAAATGTGAATTGTTTATAAATCTAATTGTTAGGTCCATTGTTTAATTTGATTTAAATCTGAATTTTTTTGAGTGTCTTCAGGTTCTATTGTTTAACTTTTATTTTAAATTTCATAATTATTAGAGTTCATTTGCTATTATTTTTATTATTTATTTATTTATTCTGCTCTTATGCTAATAATTAATGTAAATTGTTTATAAATTTAATCGTTAGGCCTACTGTTTATTTATTTAGTTTATTTGGATTTGAAATTTTTAGGGTGTGTTCATGTGCTAATGTTTAACTTGTGTTTTTTTATTTCATAATATTGGAGTTAATTTGCTATTATTTCTATAATTTCTTTATTCATTCTACCCTTATGTTAATAATTAATGTGAATTATTTATAAATTTAATTATTAGGTATACTATTTAATTTTATTTAAAATCTGATTTTTTGGTGATTTCATGTACTAGTGTTTAACTCTTTTAAAAAAAATTCATAATCATTGGAGTTTATTGGCTATTATTTTTATAATTTATTTATCTATTTTGTCTCTATGCTAATAATTCATACGAATTAATTATAAATTTAATTATTTAGATCTACTTTTTAATTTTATTGAAATCTAAAATTTTTAGAGTGCATTCATGTGCTGCTTTTTAATTTAATTTTTAAATTTTATAATTATTGGAGTTCATTTTATATTATTTTTTAGAACTTATTTGTTTATTCTGCCTCTATGCTAATATATAATTAATATAAATTGATTAAAAATCAATTATTAGGTTTGTTGTTTAATTTAATTTTAATCTAATATTTTTAAGGTTGGTTCATGTATTTGTTCTTAGCTTTTACTCTGAGTTTCATAATTTTAGAATTCCATTTACTATTTATTTAATTTCTATTTAATATTCTACCTCATTTTTAATTGTTAGTGTATTTTGTTTATGAAATTTGATTATTTAGTTCCCTGTTTAATTTGATTTTAATCTAAAAGTTTTATGGTTTTTTCATGTGTTGGTGTTTAGTATTTATTAAAAATTTCATAATTTTAGGAATTCCATTACAATTTATTTTATAGTTATTTATTATTTTTCTTCATTTTTAATTATTAGTGTAGATTATTTATGGAACTTAATTGTTTGGTCCAATATTTAATTTTTTTAATATTAAATTTTAGAGTGTGCTTATGTGTTTGTCCATGTCTTGTATTTTAAGTTTCCTAATTTTATGAGTTAATTTACTATTTATTTTTTTCTCCTATTTATCGTAATTATTAATGTGATTTGTTTCAAAAGTTGATTTTTAATTCCAATACCATTTATTATTGTAATTTGAAGCTCTCAGAATTTGTACATATGTTCGCCATGTCTAGTATTTTAATCTTCATAATTTTATGAGTCTATTTGCTATTTATTTATAATTTATTTACCATTCAAGTGTCATTTTAATTATCAATGTAATTTGTTTTAGAATATAAATTTTAAGTTCAGTATCTTTTGTTATTTTAATCTAAATCTTTTAGAATTTGTAACTATATTGGTTCTCGATTTTATTTCAATTGTCATAATTTTTGAAGTTTATTTGCTATTTATTTATAATTTATTGCTATCATTATAATTATGGTGTAGGATTTTTTTCGGTTATTTAGCCATACAAGAAATCATCAAGTCTCCTTGATTCTAAGAACCGATGACGACGATCTCTCATCAAATTCATCTTTCAATTAGAAAACAATAGGTCATTTTAGGACAATTAAAAAATTTTAAGTTGGCCTAACAAGTTTTCTATTTAAATAGGGAATGATGTTGGTCTTGATCCATAATTAAAAAAAATAATAAAAACTAAAAAGGCAAGAAATGAAAGGAAGAGAATTAATTAGGATAAATATAAAATCAATTAAAACATATTTAACTAATTAAGTTGTTCATCGACATACCAATCATGTCGGGACGTAATTGGATTTCATGCTAAATTGATGCTATTCTCAATCTTTGGGACTCAACACCCAATTTAATATGATGCAACCATAAAAAAAAAAATTAATGTTGAAAACCTTTTTTCATCTACATGTAAATAAAACACATTTAGCTAAATAGGTTGTTCCTCGACATGTTGGTTGTCGTAACCAAAAATTTGCCTTTCCATTTTATTGCACCATTTTTATCTGTACAAATTTTATTTCTTCATGTGCACATTTATTTTTATATTTATTTTTATTATTACCCTTATTATTTTTATTATTAATTTTGGTTCTACTTAAATTTTCTCTTTTTTTAGATTTTTTAGTATAATTTATCTTTCATTTTATCACAAAAATCAGCATTAAAAAAATGAAAAAAAAAAAGAAGAAGAAGAACAAAACATAAAATTAGGTTAATTGATTTTTATTTTATTTTGCATAAAAAGTGAAAATACCAAAAAAAGAAACAATGGAAACAAACATAAACTGTAATCAGGGGACATTGGGGTGCAATTGAATAAATTAAAAGAACCAAAACTGAAATTCAGCAATGCAGAGGTTTGATTGTAAAACATTAAAATAAAAATGACCAAAATAGCATGCTTGAGGGGTATAATTGGAGGAAAATTGGAGTGCAGAAGGACGACAATTCAAGGAAGGGGCGAACGACAATATCAATTTGGAAGTTTACTTGAACGACACGGCGTTCACTCCAACCCATTATACCAAATCCTAGCTACTATTCCTCTTCTTCTTTAGCTTCACCTGCACACAAAAAAGACGGGAGAACGAAACGATAGATGAAGAGCTGGCACCCGATTTGGATTTTTATCCCAAGCCAAATTGATTATTTTTTATATATTTATTAATTTAATTAATTTCGAATTTTATGAATTTATTTGAGAAAAATTAAAGAGGCCAATTACTTAATTTAATCCATAGTATTTAATTAAAATATTAAAATTGAATTTTATAAATGTGAGTTTTTTGCCATAATTTGAAGTTAATAAATCCACACAATTTATTAAAGGGTATTTTTATAAAAGAAATTTATTTTGAAAAAATTGTATATGTAATTAAGCTAATTAATTTTATTTAATAGGTTTTCACTAAGAATAATAAATAATTAAAATGAAAAAGATGATGAGATTTAATATCTTGTATTCATTACGTTAGTAATATGAGACATCGTCAATAATATTCACATTCTATGTAAGTTCTGGGTTGAAGGTGTTATATGATGTGTATAGAGAGGGAAGGAAACAATAGAAACAGAAGATAAATGGGACCTTGGTGATGAAATATTAGCAAACAATAGGAAGGAGAGAAACAGGGAATCGGGAAGCTCGGTCTGAGAAGTAAAGAGAAGAGGAAGAAAGGATTTTGGGCTGGGAAAGAAAAAGAAATAAAGGAAATGAACGTATGGCTTGGGGTTGGATGAAGGCTTGGGCTAGGAAGGAAATAGAACGGGCTTACTTTGCTAAACTATGGGCTTGGGGGTTAGGACCTAGACTTGGGCTGGGGGAGAAAGAAGGGGCTCGGGTTTGGGTTTGAGCTATGTTAGGCTTGGCTGGGTTTTGGGAAAGATGGGGCATAGATTTGGGTCTGAAGGCCAGAAAGTAAAAGAGGAACCTAGGCTTGGGTTTGGGCTGGTCTAGAGAGAGCAGAGACACATGGGCTCGGCCCAAAGGACTTTCAAGTGTTTTTAGGATTTATTTTAATAAGCTTCCCTTACTTTATTTAATCTGAACTTTTTATAGGTGCTGCATGTGGTTATTTTTAGTTTAGGTTTAAAATGTTAGCATTTTTAAAGTTTATTTACCCCTTATTTTGAATTTATTTAATTTTATGTCTAGTTATTAATTGCTTTAATTACCTAAATTTCAGTTTAGCCTACTGTTTAATTTTATTTAAATTTAATTTTTTATTGAATGATTGTATACTCATATATAAGTTGTGTGTTAGATTTCTTAATTTTATGAATTAATTCCTATTTATTTAGCATTAGTCATTTTCTTTATGGTCTATTATTTAATATTTACAAGTTTAATTAGATAATTAATATGATGGCGCATCGTCGAGTTTTTTAGAATCTAGAGACTGATGACGATGTTTCATCAAATTTATAATATTAAAAATGTCAAAAAAGAAAAGAAAAGAAAAGAAAAGAGATAGCTCTAAGCTAATTTAACTAGTCTCCTATCTATATGATAAGAACATTTGTCATCAATTAATCTAAATCAATCACCCTTAGTAATTAGTTTATTTTTTGACATACCAATTATGTCAAGACTTTAACCGGATCAAATATTGAATTGATGAGACTCCCAATGTCGGGGTTCAATGATTAATTCAATATGATGTCTGGAATTAAAAAAAAAATTTAGTTTAAAAAATGCATAAACTTGAAAATAAACTTAGAAACAATTTGGCTAAAGATATTTTCTAGGAGATATATTTTAGAAATAAACTTGACATGATATTTTTTTTTAAAATGACGCATTTGGGTTATTCACATCTTTCCAAGTGTATAACCAACTTCTTATCTTAAAATCTTTAAATCCAATGCCTATTTTAGGTTTCTTAGTTCCTTTAATATTAGGAGATGACTTCAAAATATTGGTTAACTTATGTCTTTAAAATAAATAAATAATAATAATATAGTAATAATATTTTTAGAAGTCTCTTAAATATTGGGTAATGACACCAATTGTGTCAAGATGGAATTGGATTTGATGCTAAATTGACGTTACTCTCAATTTTGAGGCTCAATGTCAATTTAATATGATGCTATAAATAAAAAAAACAAACATTAATTTCACCTAGATGATAATTAAGCTTGAAAATAGACTTAGAAAATAATTTGACAAATATAACTCTTAGAAGATATTTTTAGGATTAAACCAAATGTAATATCTTTTCTTTAAAAAAATACATTTGGATGATCATTATTTTTATGCAGCAACCTCAAGAATTTATTGATTTTTAGCATCTTAACTATGTTTGCAAACTACATAAAGCTCTCTATGGCTTTCGGTAAGCTCTCCGGGCATGGTATACAGAACTTCGTCGCTTTCTTCTTGTCAGTGGTTTTGTCAATTCAAAAAATGATGCTTTTCTTTTGTAATCTTTCTTTAATTGGCTTGATATTGTTTCTCTTTCTATATATATATATATATATATATATATATATATATATTATAATCCTTAGTTAATAAAATATCATAATTACACAGAAAATTTTTAATGAAGTTAGTTCGTTGTTAGTTAGTTTAGTTAGTAACTGACCGTATAAAAGAGAGAATTATGCTAAGAGAATCTTGTCTTGTACGAATTTGTAAACTTCTTTTTCTGATTTCTCTCTGATTTTAATAATTCTTCTTTTTGTATTGCATAAACATTTCTATTGAATTTTTGTAAATTGTATAAATGTTTTCATTAAATAAAACCATTAATTAATTTATTCATTTTTGAGTTCTTCAATTACTGGAGTTATAACTGTGACATTTGATAAATCTTGGTACAGATAGCAAGCAATAATGGCGAAAGAAAATGGAGATCAAAGGAAAGTGGAGTCAATCAAGAACCTTACCACGATAATTTATGATCTTACTAAGAGACCAGAGGATATGGCTTTACACTATAATCATGAAACGACAGAAATTAAAGAATTAGTTAAGGGTCTTCAAAGTTGGGGTTCTTGCAGGAGTAAATGATAATCAAACATATAGAATTCACGATTATAATGAAAATGTTGTTCATGTGATTATTGATAATAGAACTAATAGTAGTAATGAAGGTGACAGATTTGTGGATGCTAAGGAAATGGGAGTATGGCCACTATAGGACTGGTTTGAAATATAAATAATGAATTAAGGACTGGTTTGTAGTTAGTTCAAATATTTCTAACCAAACCGCCTTTTGCGACATGGCATGTGACCTTGTGACTGAGAAATTTCTCCTTGTGACTCAATCGACACTCTTTGTGCTCTGATTTTCAGTTCTTTCACTGCTAATTTCGTGAAACATGAATCAGAGAAGAAACGCAGTAGCATCTAAATCACAACCCACTAAACCCTTAACAACCAAGGTCCCTGATATCTCCAAACAAGAAGAAAACAAATCCCGGAAATCCAATTTCTTTTCCTCTGATAAGAATATCTTTACGCTATGTTTCGCATTTCGAATTGCCAATTCTCTGCTGATTCAAACTTATTTCAATCCAGATGAGCACTGGCAAGCCCTTGAAGTTGCCCATCGAATTGTATTTGGGTAAATGTTCTCAATGTACATTCAATTTGGAAACTACCACTTTTTTCTTTTCTTTTGTTTTTTTTTTTTTTGAAAAATTTAGGTAAAGCTTTAAACTTTGTTGAATTTTGGAAGTGTCCTTTTGGTTTTTTGGCGTTCAAGTTGAATTTTGAAAGCACCCTGCTGTCCCGCGTATCTCAATTTAAGTGTAATGAGTTTAAAGTTATAAATTAGAACATTTATTGCAGCGAAAAACGAAGCTCTTTGGTTTCTTATACTAGCAAGAGTTTCGGGAAAGTTTTTATTTTTAATTGGAAGTAGTGAAAGTGCTATGAAGGAAAGTATGATAACCAAAATGTGATTAAAATGGCAGGTATGGTCATCTGACGTGGGAATGGAGGAAGGGAATCCGTAGCTATTTGCATCCATTGGTGTTCGCTGTGCTTTACAAAGTTCTTGCGTTGTTTGGTCTTGATACTCCATGGTTCATGGTAAATATAGCAGTTTGTTTGTTTCAAGATTGATATTAATATTTGAGTTCTGCTTTCTTTATTTGTCTTGTGTCTGAATAAGATATATTTTTCTGAAGCAATCTTCAAGAGAGAATCATGGTTATTTCAAATTTTTTAGTGGGATGGTAGGCATCTAGATGGTTTGAATTACCGATTTCTGTGATGCATGCTGTAACAGTTTTTAGGGTTAAACTAGACTCAATAGGAAGTATGATTAAGACCATAAATTATTTTGAGGACTACCACCATCATGGAGTGATGTTCATGGATTGGCAATTAGAAATGAATTTTCTCTTAAAATGATGTTGAAAACGAAAGGAATTAGTGTATGATTAGTATGAAGTAGTACAAGAATTTTTTGCAGCATGCTTGTGAGGTGGAGAAGGTCTTGTATGCTACTGTACACTTATTTTGATCTTCGGGAACTTGACTACCATAGGAAAATTATAACCCTTTGAATGCTCAAAGCTACTTATGCAATAGAAGATTACTTATTGAGTCTTATTGTTAGGCCTTTTAGTGGAAGGAGATGATGAAACCTGTTCAATTTTCCTCTTGATGCTATTTATGGTACATCATAAAAGCGGGTGAAGTATAAGTCTTGGTGACCACCAACAGATTCATAGGATTCATGTATCTCCTGTATGTTAGCAAGCTCATTATTTTGGGATTCGAAGTTGCTCGAGAAATATTCATGCATCATTTTTTTCAAATAATCAGTACTTTGTAACACCTTTTTACTGTTCTTAACTTAAACTATCTGTAATTGCATGTTCAAAGTTGTGGGACTGTAACATTATTGAGGTAATTGATAAACTTAACCAAATAAATGCACGCTTTCTTGATTTGAAGTTCTGCATAAAAATAGGTAATTGTTTCATAATAATTTATAACAAACAACAGGTGCTTTTAATAATTGTGCTTTTGCTTGCTACATTTTGAAGTTATAGTTTGATGCTGTCAATGTATTACTTGTGTCTCACGCTTTGTAGGCAACGGCTCCACGGTTGCTGCAAGCCCTGTTTTCTGCAGTTGGTGATTTATATTTCTACAAACTTTCAAATGCTTTCTTTGGCCATTCTGTGGCAAAATGGGCAGTATCCTTCTGTTATGTTTTCTTTTTCCTGTCAGATTAAACTTGAACAAATGGGTGATATTTTTTGTTTTCATTTTAAACCTGAAACTACTTTTCTGTTATTATTGTGGCTAGAATCATGTCTGTGAAAGATGGACTTAACGTATACAGCTCTTTTCTCAATTGGCAAACTGGTTCATGTTTTTCTGCTTCAATCGTACATTGTCAAATAGTTTGGAAACAGTTCTTACTTTGGTTGGTCTATACTATTGGCCCTGCATGGGAGTTTCTTCCAGCAAAGCTCCCCTTGTTTCACGGAAGTGGGGTTTGGCTATTGCAGCATTAGCTTGTGCAATTCGGCCAACAAGTGCTATTACATGGGTCTATGTTGGCCTTCTTGAGCTAGCTGTTACACGTGATAGATTGAGATTCCTTGTCTTGGAGGTGGTCCCCATTGGGTAGGTATTAATGCATGAGATTCCCCATTTCCTCTTGTCCTGAATTTGTTAACAGTTTGTGCTTGAGTGCTTGAATTTCATTTCTTTTGTCTTTCACAATGATTTTTCCCTGCTTTGTATGGAACTATTTGTTTGGTAATGTTATTAGTTTGCGATGTGTGCAGTCACGATCCAAATGTTTCCGTATTATATGCAAGTAGTACGAGGAAGTTATGGTTGATGACAGCAACATTTAGCATAGAAATAGGGTGAATGACTGAAATCTTGTTGGCAAAACTAAGTTTATGTGCTAAAATAAGTGAGAAGCATTTTAAAGGTTGGTTCATCTCTTTTTTGCTTGTAATGCATGCACGTGAATATAACTACTCTCTGAAGACCTAGACTATTATGGTGCATTTTGTCTACATAACTTCCATCAAGGAGAAAGTTTCATCTCAATGGTTCATCTTGTCTCTTCTCATACAAATTAAAAATTGCCAATGCTTCCAGTTTCCATTTCTTGAACTTGTCATTTAAATTGATGTGGACATTTTTTAGCTTCTGCCAAACCCTAGAAAATACACTCTGATGTATACAATAGGTGTTAAGCAGTAGATATTTTTAAACCTTTTTTGCATGCATGTATTAATTCACATTCTAGTCTCCTCAGGAGACAGTCTGGAGTTTTTCTCCTATTGTCTGCGAACATTGGAGATGACACAGCTCATTTACTTCAGCTAATGAGTATTTTTCAACGTCAAAAGGGATACCGCACAACCACACACCTCTTTAGAGTCAGAATATTTTGCTGATGTTCTAGACAGCACCCCAACCATAAGATCTCTGTATGCATAATTATTTGGGTGCATACTGATTTTAACATTTTGTGCCAAATTACAGAAGGATATAATTGTCTCATGATTGGTGTTACCATTACGGGTGCAATTGCCTTTACTCTTGCTGTCATTAGGCTGAGCAAATAAAATCCATGAATTCATTACTATTTGACCATCAGAAGTTACAAGCAGTAATTGCTATTTCTATTGTTGGTCATTAGCCAGCTATGTGTAGCAAACATGTCACCCTTTTGTCTAGCATTGATGAAATTTGCAATGTCTTAATTGAGATATGCTTAGTTATGGAGTTCATTGAACATTTTAAAATTTTGCATTACAATATTTGTCTTGTTCGATTGAATGGTATCTGCGCTAGCGTTTACAATTATGACTTAATTTGTTGGCAAAGCTGCATTTAGGTATTGTGTTGATGCTGCTTGTCTATTTCTTTGGTTCAATTTGCAAGACACTTCTTTTTTTAGTTTTGGTCACATTTGGTGAGATGCTTCGTTTGGAACTTTTGAGGGGATTGAGCAATGCATGCTAAATGTGGTAGGATTAAATCTACTGCATGACAATAGCAAGGACATGGTATAAACGCTTATTAAATTGCACTTAGTACTTGTATAATACATTATGTAAATTGCATGGATTCTACCTTTCCAATTCTTTTCTTGGGTTATACTTTCTATTGTGTATGATTATAGGCTAATTGGTTATAAAGTACCCTGAACTATTACTGAATAGAGGAAAAGTCTTTAACCTTCTTTTTTTTTTTTGGGTCTCTTTTTTTTTTTTTGGTCTGTAATTAAGTTCTTTTGTCCAGTCGATCAATCTCAAGCCACATTGGACACGTGAAAGACACGTGGAGGCATAAACAACGACATGTGTCCTGTGTTTAGGACTTCCAGTACATGTGTTCTGTGTTTAGGACTTTCAGTACATGTGTTGTTGTTTTAATGGCTCCACATGTTTCTCATGTCGTTTGAAATTGGTCAACGGAATGGAAGAACTTAATTGCAGAGCAAAAAAAGGTTGAGGACCTAAATCAGAAAAAAAAAAGTTAAGGAATTTTTTCCTTTTGACCAATAGTTCAAGGTATTTTATAATCAATTAGCGATGATTATATTATTGTTTTACTTACAGTTTTGTTTCTGTTATCAGGGCTTTGGTGATTGGGCTTTCATGTTTATTGGATCGTTTGATGTATAACTCTTGGGTCATTGTGCCCGTTAATTTCATCAAGTTCAACTTTCTTTCATCCGGCGGAGATTATTATGGAACTCACAAGTGGCACTGGTACTTCTCTCAAGGATTTTCAGTCATGGTCTTCACATTCTTACCATTTTCAATAGCTGGTTGCATCAAGTCTAAATGCTGGAAGCTTTCTGGCCTCATTGCATGGGTTTTAATTGTTTACAGTATTCTGGGGCATAAAGAATTCAGGTACTCACTCAATTTTGGCCTTGATTTTCTTTGTCTTTTTGTCTTGTTATCCTTTTTTGTATGAAAAACTTTAGGTTCATGTTCCTAAGTTTGTTTATCGTCTAATAGACTATGAGTTACAGGTTTGTCTTGCCTGTGCTCCCAATAGCTTTGATGTTCTCTGGATATTCGTTAGCTGCGATGGCAAGATCTGATACTGATAGTAGAAGAAAAGTTTCTCCAGACAGTCATATGAAAAGGCCTTCAAAAGTGGGATTTGCCATCTTCTTCTTGCTTGTCACCAACATTCCGATGGCATTGTATATGAGCTTGGTTCATCAGGTACGTGAGATACCTCCTCAACTCCAGTGAACTGAAAGATGATTGAAGCCTTGTCCTCTTCAACAGAAGAGCTTAACATGGCTTATTGCTTTGATGTAATCCTACGTTTTCCTTTCTCTCTCTTTTTTATTTTTTTATCTACTCAAATTTAGTTTATAAATAAAATAGACAAAGCTCTAACTATACTTCCTGAAAAAAATAAACGAAGGGTAGAGAGCTCTCAGGGAAAAAATTTCATATTAGTATGGTTTTTTTCTTTTTATTTTTCTGTTGATCTTACTTTGAATTTTGCTAGACAGAGAGGAACTGAGGATGTCATGATTTATCTATCCAAAGAAGCACAAAATGACAAAGTGAAGAGTATCCTGTTTCTAACGCCTTGCCATGCCACACCTTACTACTCCACACTCCATTATGATCTGCCCATGCGTATTCTGGATTGTTCTCCAAGGTTTGGATTTTAGTAATTTGGTTGGAGTATATTGTCGTTTTCATTCTGTCTTGAATTGCTATTGTTAAAATTTTTTAATTTTGGTCTGATATCTCATTCAACAGTGAAGAGAAAGGAATTCCAGATGAATCAGACCGCTTCATGATGGATCCTGTTGGTTTTGCATCAGAAATGACAAAAAACTGGTCTTTGCCTAGTCATATTGTATTATTTGATTCAGAGGAGAAACTGTTAAGAGATTTTCTGATTTCACATTCTTTCAGAGAGGTACATGCGGAGCCTATGTTTATATATAGTTTTACTTTCGATGTTACCCTATCTTCTTTGTTAGCTAAGTCTAAAATATAATGACAGATAAGAAGGTTTTTCCATGCTCACTTCAAGGTGGACCGTGATCTTCAAGCATCAGTTGTTGTATATGCTCTGGCTAACTAGTGGTAATTGATCTATTTTTTTGTGCAACAATCATTATATCTAATTCACAGATTTCTGATAATTCTGTCCCCTTTCGTTTACCAAGATTAGTTTGTTGTAGAAATACTTCATTGTCACTTTTGATTTATTGAACATACTTCCCCACCGGCAGGGAATCTTGTAGTCTGTATCCCATATGTTGATATATATATATATATATATATAGCTGATTATCATGGTCATACTAAAGTGTCATGATGTTTGAAGAAATGTTATCCTACAATAATTCAATATCATGATCATTGATTGGTATCGCTTGGAAGTTAACAATTGAGAAGTGATAAATCAACAGTCCAATTGTGTGGTTACTAGCACAAGTAGCAGGTACTTAATCTCAACCTAGTGTTTGCATCTTAAACCAACTAGTTATTCATACGCCAATTTTCTTGGAAGCTCCCGTGGTCAAGTAAAGAGGATTTGTGATAATTGTTTCCTCAAGCAAAGACCTGCTGATTTCAACCAGTCTTTTTTTTTATCTCTTCAACTTCAAATGGAAGTTGTTTAATTGTATAATGATTTGAAGTCACATTAGATTGATTTATTGCACAATCCCAACTGAAATCACTAGAAGTTACATAAAAAATATTATAAACCTTACTTTCTTTTAGGTAAAAAAACTAACTATTCATTGATTTGTTTGTTTGGCGTTTCCTACGCAAGTTTGTTTAAATTTCTTATAGCCAAATGGGCATGGGAATTGATTTACAAATGTGGCATTATTCAAAGCAGTATGTGTATTCTGTGATATGCCTAATCACTTGAGATAGCTTTTTAGATTTAAAGTTAAATGCCGTTATTTCATCTGTCAATCTTGATGCAGTGAACTCCAAATAAAATGCCAGCAGTTTCTACTGTGCAAGTTGGCCTACTTGACTCAGTAAAGTTCACATTCTTTGAATCTTCACTACTTTTTTGAATCTTCACTACTTTGCCATCAAAGTTTAAGTTGCATTTTGCCCATAATGAACGTCTCATGGCAGCCCTGAAAACCTATGTCAAGTCTTGCTGGTGGGTGGCGCTGGCTGAACCCACTTGCAGATAGGTTAGGTCCCTAAAAAGACGAAAAGATACTTCTCTTGAAACAGCAGGTTCATATGTATGTGATTACAGGCATAGCTTCTATTGTTAAGGGTCATTTTACATTAAATGGGTGCCAATTTTATACAAGGATTAAGAAAAGTTGGATTTGTAGCATTTATTGTGCACCTATTATGGTAGAAAGAAATAAACAATCCAGCATCCTTGAGAATGTGTAGCTTGAGTGGGATGTAGACAAATTACAAACGAACAAAGATTGATATGTCGTGTGGTTTGGCAGGTTTCAATTTAAAATGCACTACAACTTCCATTGTTTTTTTTTTTTTTTTTTTTTTAATGGAGAAATGGAAATGAAATAGAATTTCTGAATGAGAAATGAGAGGGAAGCATGAATTACAGAAGCATACATACCAAATATAAGTACAAAGTGGTCCTCTCAACTTCATGCTCCTGAAAAAGTCCTATACATCAATTCCTGAAGGCCCTTTCCTTCTGGTCTCTCCAAATATTCCTTCCACAGTTCCACTGAGTCAGTAAGCACATGGAGTAACAGTAAGCATCGCTGGTGTTTATTACATGAAAGGGGATTTGGGTATATTAGTTGAAGTGGTTTAAGCAGTCCCATTGATGGTTGAGGCAAGGTTTGTTTTGGTAATTTAACATGAACCAGGACTTGTGTGATTCGTATGAGAACACACACAGCACCGGTGGGGGATGCCATCTTCCTTTTGCTTAGCATTTTCTGTACCAAAAACGAGGTTGTAGCAGAATATATTGCACTACTTTATGAGGAATGTTAATAATAATAATAATAAAATGTTGAAAACTGTGTTTATATAATTTGGAATAACTAATTAACTTCAATGTGGAAATTTTAAATTCCCATAATCGTTTGCCATGCTTTCTTGTCTACTGCATTAACTGCCAAAAATTGTTTCTAGAGGCAAACAAAATCAGTGTGCTCCTTGAATTTTTCCTTGCATTTTCTACTTGTGATTTTTTATGTGACACAAATTCTAGAGAACAAAAACTAGAGAGTTTTGTTTAAAATGTGTAAATAGCAATCACAACATGACAAAATGTAATGGATCTCGACAACCTTTGCTCCATATCTCCCCCATATTCCTTTATAGTATTGTCCCAAGTGAGTGAAGCTCGTCTATATAAACCTGCTTTATCCCATGGGTCTAAACATCTCACAAATATCTTGACCTTTAGTATTTCTTAAATCACTAGACGTGCTTGATTGTTAGTTATCCATGCATAGCAGAAACATGAAGATGAAGATGGGCCATTTGATGGCCAAAAAGAAGGCAAAGCTGGTTAAATTTTCAATGAAAAGAAATATTTCTACTTTGCAGAAAATGATTCCTGGCTGTGAAGAGGCTGATTTTGAAACCTTGTTTCAGAAGTGTATTGAGCATGTTATGAAACTAAAATTGCAAGTCCATATTCTTAAGAGTCTCCTACAGGTTTATGAGATTGATTAGATTGAGCTGCTCAATGGCATGGGTATCCTGGCAACTGTATAAAAATGTAAGTGTCAATTCCATGTGTAACATCAAGTTATGAGTCTATATAGCCATATTGTATCTTCATCGTAACAGTTGTAATAACGTTTGTTCCAACTTCTTTGTTAAAGCAGTCACAGCAAAGCTTCTTGTTACTGTGGTGAATCAAGATCTGTTTCGTTGGCTATGCTTTGTGTAACTTCGAGAATTCATGATCAACCATGTTATGATCTTCTGCTGCTTTTGTCATGGCTAGTTGATTCACTCAGAGAATTTGAGGCATCCCAAGAGACCAATTAGAAACCCATCTTTCCAATCCAGCTAGCCCTTCTTATTTTTCATGTAGGCCTGTTAGTTTCTATCTATGACCCAAGGAAAAATATGCTCAAAGTCCCATTGCCTCTATCTTCTCCACTTCAAAGTCCTGTCGGTGTTTTCCAAAGCTAATCTTTGTCCTATCTTTCCCATAGCTCATCATCTTAGGTCCTTCATCCCCATACTTTTCACTCCTTTGAGGGACATTTGGCTTTAATCAAGATGAGAAGCTTTAAGACATTTAGGACGTCATCTCTACCATTATCCCCCCTAAATCATGACCTGCAATCACCTGCTGTTTTTCAATCATATATGATATGCTTTTCCTCATGAGTTATCTACAGTTTTTATATGATGTTTCTCATGTAACTTCTGTTGATCTACCATGACTTCGTGATTATTATTTTGGTATGAAGTTGTGGTTCCAAAATTATGTCCTAGATAGGCCATAAGAGTGAAGACAGCTATGTTCTTCTCTGATTATTCCTTTTAAGCATTAGAATAACATGGTGCTGAACATACAACAACTTTGATTATAATATCCCTGAACAGTTTTTATTTATATGTATTGAACAAAAACTATAGTGTCATTGATAATAATTACATAGTAAAAGTAGAAAATATGCAAATCGATCTGGCACAACAAAGTAGATTATCAGCAGCTTCAATGTTCATAGAACTGAAGCTCATATTTTGCATAAGAAGTAGAGAGCATGAGCAGATGATTAATGGTTGTTGCCCATGTCTTGTAACGATGATAATCATCCCCCATGTCTAGCTTGATTATCCCCAGATTGGTTGTTAACACAATAAGATAACATGTATGATCAGTCTCTCGATCAGCTTCTGAATCTTTGTACAACTCAGCGTACAGGTCCACTACAATACCTGAAGCATCTCCATGGTAATCATAATGGTTAATTCTCTGTTCCATCTTTAGGGAAAACTAAGTTTGTGCTATACGTATTATTTAAGATAAAGTAATTAAAAGGGAAAATGGAGAGCAGGAAAAGTATAACCTACTTTCCTTCTTGCTTTTCAGGATATTCAGCTTCCTCACTTTAAGAATAACCTTCATAATTAATTTAAAAATCAATGGTTAGGATCACACCGGAGCTAAACTTCCATGAACTTTTGATAAACTCTGGTGAATAACAATGCATTGCAGAATCTGAAAATAAGATCAGAATATAGTCAAACCTTGGCTTTGCTGTTAAGGATGATAGACACGGATCTCACCCTAAAATTTCCTGTTTACACAAAATTTACAATCAAGCAAAATGTCAAGTGATTTTAGTGTTTAAATTAGCTGACATTCCAGTAATGACTTTTCCACCAACATACCATCTGGTGTTTCAACATGGAGCTCTGTTCCATTGGCAAGTACTGACCTACACTTCTCAAAGTCAAAATCAATGTCATTGTTGTCCTCTAAAGGGAGAACTGGTGCACTGCCATTTAATCTGTTCTTGCATCCAGTTCTTGCTTTAAGTGTAGCAGCTCCTTTCAATGCTACAAACAATTGTAACCAAAAGCAGACATACAGGAAAAGATGAGTTCAAAACTCTGTGGGTTAGCATATTATTGTTGCTGAGGCCCAATTGTGAGGCCGATCTAGTTTTCTAAACCCAAGAGCCAAACTATTGCCTTATGTGCAAGAAAAATTCTCTCTCTATTATTGAGTAAAATGAAAACACTCTTCCTGTTTCCAAAGCCAAATAATTGAAGAAACTTACAAGTTGTTGCAGCAGCTGTGAGTGTTACAATGTCACTTGCATTCGTGCCACTCATGGCTGAACCTATGACACTGCTAAGCTGCTCCCTCTTTGCCCCCATTGCTTCCGCAACTTGCGCACATTGAGCTGCCACCAAAGCAGCAGCAGAGGCTATGGCAGCCTCCTTGGCAGAGCTGGATTCATCTTTCTTAGAGTTGTCAGCAGCAATTGCAGCTAAAGCAGCAGCTACACCTGCTACTGATATAGCTGCATGTACATCAGCTTTTTGTAGCCTCTCTTCTTCTTTTCGCTTCAGCTTTATCTCTTTCAACCATTTCTTGATTGATATGGTCTTAAAGGGCACTATATTTTTCCATGGCAACTGCATTAGGAATTGTATAGATTAAGTACTTTTGGCATATGTTTCTATAGCTTATGGAAAGCTAAAGTTAATGAGAGCAAGATTATGTACCCATTTCTTGCGGAAACAACTGTTATAGTTCAGTTCAGGATGCATTGCTTGTTGCATCCATATCCAAGACTGTAAGCAAGAACAGAAGATATATTAAACAATGAATTTGGTTAAGATTGATTCAACTAAATGATATACATTGATCACAACCACTGTACTATTGCTGTTGTGTGCCTACCTTCACATCATTGGATTTCCATGGAGGCAGAGACTTGAAGCTGGCATCATCCATTTTGACGCTTTTGTCCATCTTCTGCAAGGTAAAGAAAACAACAAACCTCCATTCATGTCTTTTTCTCCAGTAACATTCAAATCAGAAAATCCTGCAAAGACAGCAATCGCTACAATTTGACTGACCGAGAAAGAAGGTTTCCTGATGTCGCAATCGAGTTTCTTGATTGGATTATCCAGGAGAACGATTGACTGGTTTTGCAAGTCTGGTTGGAGAGCTTGAACGGCAAAGTTGCACCAAGTGGTCGAAAGAAAATCCATCGTCTCAGGATGTGCCTCAGAGGGACTACTTGGCTTCATAATTGAATCCATGTATGCAAGTAGGAACTATAGACTGTATTTAATTTGAGGTGATCAACTTACTAGCAGATTGAGAAGGGCTGCACTAAGTTTCAGATATAAATAAGTCTTAACATGCATGAATGCTAAATAGCCAATGACTAAATCACGATCATGTCAACATGGTGATGTGGGTTCTAAACATATGGTCCATACGGATGCAGGGGTTTAATTTATTGGACAGAATAGAGCTGCAAAATGTCCTCCTTAAATCATTACCATAGGTGTGAATGACCCATATGAAAGATGAGATTCAAATGGGAGATTATGCATTTATGGAACAAAATGGCCTTAAAGGGTACGTAGTGCTAGCAGGTACAGCTTGTTGCTGTCCTCCTATGCTCAACAAAGGTTTTTGGACAGATGAGATATTACAGTTGGAAAGGTTAACTGGATATTTGTGAATATATAAACATGGAGTTGGGAACAAGGGACCTACTAGGTACAACAAGGGTTTCTAGATTAATAGATTTAGATTGGAGAGAGTGTTCCTGCTTCCTTCAAGATTTGATGATAGAGAACACATGCTAACCACTATAGAGGCATTAATACATGTTGGATGAAATCAAAAAAAGATATCGAGAGGTCCATTTCCTTTTGTATCTTTAAATGAAAACCATAAACTCAAGCTAAGTATGAAGAATTGGGTTGATGAGAAAGTGATCTATTACTCACTAGAGCTGTCCAGGGCCACCTCTTTAGCCCCTCTAACCCTGACAAGCCATAAAAGTTGAAGAGAGCTAGTAGGATGCAAGAACTGGGAGGCATTATAACCAAGCATGCAGCCTAGGGCCGACATTGCTAGGAAAGAAGTGGACATGTATCATTGATGTTAACCATAATAAAAGTAAAGGTATAAAAAGACATGTATCAATATTGAAGCTAAACATTCTTTGATTAGAAAACTGATTGGATGATCAACAAGTTGTTAAACAAGAAGGATGGGGTATTAACTTTTTGTATTAAATAGGGTTTTATGAAAGTTAGTCGAGTAGCTTTTTATGGGGGTTGATAATCTCTCAAAATGGCTTTGGGGTCACCAATATTCTGTTTTGATGATGGATTAGTGACTTTGGAGAGTTATTGGTTAAAAGCTGGCGTGCTCATTAGATTCATGTGACAAGCGAATAATTTGAGTGCTTGATTGTTACTTGTGTTTCTTAATTAATGGGGGGTGATTAATTAAAAAAAAAAAAAGCACAAAGAAGAGACTAGGGGCACTCTATTCTTCCTTTCTTGCTTTTCTTGGAAGCTTAGTAGAGATTATAATTAAGACTAAGAGCTTTCGGTTTTGAATTAAATTTTCAGCAAAGCAAAAAGTCAAGGAAAAGGATTATATACTTCCAAAATTTAATGTCGCTGCCCAGGATCGAACTGGGGACCTTTAGTGTGTAAAACTAGCGTGATGACCACTACACTACAGCGACTGAACAAATGCAAAGGAAAATTTTTCTATTTATAATTTATATTCTTTTTTTGTTGAATTTTAGGTAGACTGCCTGAAGATATATATTTTTTTTCTTTTAATTTTCATTTTGTAACCGTTCACAAATGGTAAGAATTAAAGAAATATTTTCCCATCCAAATTTAGGTTTTATCCTAAATTCTTTACTAAATATCATAACTTTAAAACCTTTCAAGTTGAGCGACAAAAAAAAAAAAAAAAATCAGATATTGGATTTAGTTTGTTATTTAAATTGTGTAGAGCTGACCAAATTAGCTAATAAAAGATAAGAAATTATATACAGCCAGATAATAATATAAAAAAATTATTTTATATAAAAATAATATTATTCGTACATAATTATTTTATAGAATTTATTTATCCGAAAATATCAATAATTGAATTTGTGAAAGTTATGAAAAAAAATCACGTATTTAGTCAATAGTTGATACTTTTTAATAAATAAATGTTATAAAATAATTATATAAGAAAATCATTACTCATTGTACAAAGAGTACAGTAGAATTAACCTTTGTTTTATATATATATATATATATATATATAAAACTCTAATATCTGTTCTTGGCGGATCAGTTATCATTCTCTGGGCCTTTTTATTAGGTCCATCCTTTGATGTGTGGCCCAAATCCTTTCTAGGCATAGGCAATTGGCCCAAGTAAGTTCTGTTTTCGCCTAGTGAAGTCGAGAGCAGGCTTAATGTCTTCAAGGTAAAACGGGTGTGTTGTATCAAACTCAAACCCAAATTTGGACCGAGCTGGAGGGCACCAAAAAGTCACCTAGCCGAACACCAAAATCTTAATCAATCAAATAAGAAAGGTTACATAAACACAATTAGGACAAATCCCAACGGGCCCGAAGGTGGGGACCGATTTGTCCTCAAAAGGCCTTTCAAGAACCTGAAATTGGTCCTGCAGTGGAACCGTCAGTGGAGTCAGGTGGCAGAGGCAGTGTGGCACAGACAAACCAATTTGAGCCTGGTCTTTGGCTCGTTGCCTCTGTCTTATGCAAATATAAGTGAAATACTATGGTACCGTGTATTTCTTCCTTCACACAATAGATATATATTTAGTACCTTGTACCCAAACTTATGGATTTTATGATCCATAGGTTTGGGGACAAGGTAAAAGCTAAACATAAATATTTGCCAGCTTAGTCCAAGTTCTACAGGCTGATATGCCAAAGCATCAAATCAGAAATCTACTTGAAGAAAGTCCATTAATTTACTTCCTTTTGTGCATGAACTTATTTCTCAAATGGAAAATGCCAATATATAGCATTATTATTTACTTTAGATTGATGGCTTTACTTCTTTAGTCAAGACAATCAACTCATTCGCCATGATGGTACACATAAACTTGCATATGTTAAGTCCATTATGACTTCCAAAAGATCATGCATGAGTCTATCGTTGGATCAATTTATAGAATGAATTTAGTAGTATATAGCTGGCTAGCAACATTAGACAAGAATGCTCAAATTTGATTAGATGGGACTTAACTAATTGGCCAACCAACTCTTAATTACATCTAGAAAGCACAAAAGCAAAAAGGAATTGTTGCTATATTCTTGTATTATATATCTTCATTTGGCCAAAATTTGGACAACCTCCTAATCCTAACACAACTACTGTTTTATCTATTGGTTGTGATAGAACCTATCTACAACCTTTTCAAGAGTTATAATCATGAAATTTAATTACGTATTCTTGCTACGCTGTTCTTTACCTTTGATAAATGGTAGTAACAATGAAAACTATTATGGATTACCATCTTCTTACTCTGATGCTAACAAACAAAGGAAACTGTTATCAATTTTAGTCTCCATGTTTGCTTGTGTTTTAAATAGCTCCATAACATTAATTTGATGCCTGTGCTTAGATTAATGTACCATCTTTCAACTTTAATTTAACAAAATTACAAGCAGAATATGAAAAAATAAAAAATAAAAAAGTCTGAACGAGAAAGGTTGATAGCTATTGCTTGTATCTTCATTTAGTCACCATCTTATCTCAATGTATTTATCGTTGCTTCAAAGGTTACTAGTGCTGCCTTTCATTAGCCCGGATACAAAACAGATGCAAAATGCAGTAAATTATAGTGCTGTTTACTGGTTTTCATGTTAATCAATGAAGAACGATCACTTTTTTTTTTTTTTTTTTAGTTGACCAGGTCCTAAGAGTAGTTCAAAATATGTTAATAAGAAAGGATTAGGCTTTGCATGTAAGAACCAGTTGAATTATTTTAGAGACCATAAAATATTCATGGATACGGTTGGATATATATAAAACATTTGCCTCATCATGAACATGAACTAAAATTTATGAATTCTTACATCTTAAAATCTTTGCTTCTGTCACCATCACATAATTAATACTAGTTTATGCAGGGTGTTGCACGGGTGTAGTAATTTGGCCTTTCTTTGTTATCTTATGTCGACACCAACTTTCCCTCCTACACGCCACAACAATGCAAAATCATCTCACCTCCTTAACCAAAATAAGCACAGAAGAATCAAACAGCTAGCTGTCTAAGCAATACTTCATACGGTAAGATATCATTTTGAGTTACAATACCGAGGATTACCTACTTACTTTTTACTGAAGGACACACACAGAAAGAACATCAAAAGACAACCAAAGTAGAATTTGAAGCAATATATATTTTCTCAAGAAGAAGCTCAGTTCAAGTCGTAGTTGAAGTCCCTTCCTTTTTTTGGCCTCTTTGATGATATGAAATTTGGACTGTTCATGAATTTCCTCATGCGGTCTTTTTCTTGAACAGAAGTTGTACTTTTCTTTCCTTTGTGGTTGAGGATTCTTTATCTTTGTTTGCATATTGAGCTAAAAAAATGAAAAGAAGAAACATCATTAATACAAAGAGATGAAGTATGCACAACGCAATATTGCTGGCTAGCTCCCCATAATTAAGCTGTAAAAAATTTGTGCAAACACTTTAGGAATTTTGCTCATGATCTTAAAGTAGACTAACAAAATAAGACTAGTTAGTAGGGATGAGGGAAACAAAAGCCTTGATTGATTTAAATATGGTTCATCTGTACATGATTGCTACCTATAGCAGCTTCTGCTTTTTTCTTCTTATCTGTTCTCGCAAGAGGAGGGAAAAAAAAAGAAAAAAAAGAAAAGAAAATAAAAGAAATAGAACACCTAGAATTTATAGGAAGTAGCAGCTAGTTAATTTTCCAGAGATCGATGTTCCTATTTACCATTGACTAGCTCGGTAGCTTTAGCAACAGTTCTCATTACATCAACCTGAGCTCGAAGAGATACTATGTAGTCTAGGGTTTCTTCAATCAAAGAGATATCGTCCATAAATTCACCTCCAGGTACAAGACTCTTCAATACTTGAGTTCTTCTCTTTACCATCCTTTTAGCAATAGATTTAGCAAGAACAACTTGAGGCGCACATTTTCTTACTCTCTTAATGCAGCAACTCCTCTTCAGGATTTTCTTGCATCTAACCTTCTTGTTGTCCATGACCAATCCGATTGACGCTTTGTTTAGCCTCTCACTCTCAGGAGCTAATAGCTGCTTAACAAGGACTTTACTCTCATCAGCTTTTGAAGCATTGGCAACGAGTGCGCGACTCCAACAAGTTCTTCCATCTCTAGTAGAGGCCAAGGCAATGTCTGCTGATAACTTTATTGCCTTCTTTCTCTCCAAGATGCTCATGTTTTGCTTTGCAGAGCCACACACTTGGAGACTCAATAACCATTTCTTGAGAAATTGTTGCTTGAGTGCTGAACTAGGAGCACGCATTCTGCAAAGAATAAGACAGTACAAGAAAATTGTAATGAATTCAATTCTCAGAGATGTGGACACAGGATATAGTTTGGTTAATTTCTACTTTTGTGACTGGCCATCTATATATATATATATATCTTCTTCTAACTATTTTTCTCAACTAATTAAAGAGAGGGACTTGCGTATCATATAAATAAAAATAGTAAATATATTTCCCAGCCACAAAAGAAAATAGTTAGAACTGAAGAAGAGCTAAGGAATCACAGATTGAAGGTCGCCAAGTATTTCCAAAAGAAAATGATGGCAAGTTTAAGGTGAATTTATGCAGTTGATGGATCTAGGTAGTCATGGGAACTATGTGATGATATGCAATGTGGAAGCAACATAATAAGAATGTGAAGCGTATATACCTTGACAAAACTAGTTCTTGCATAGAACAAAAGCACAGAAAAACATGAGAAGTAAGTGAGACAAGTTGCAGAATGATGCAGTTCTGCAGATCCAAGAAAGTGTGTATCAGAATCCTAGATTGATGTTAGAGAGAGAGAGAGAGAGAGAGAGAGAGAGAGAGAGAGCGAATGAGAAGGGAGAAGAATGTGAAGCCAATCCATTTATTTGCTCAAAGGAAAAGCAGCAGTGGGCCTTTAAGAGAAAGACACAGCACATGCAAGCACATGGAATTCATGGCCCACCACACAAACCCTAGAGGATATATAAAAAAGAAATTAGGATTTTGATTAATAGAATTGTGAGATGAATTAAAGGCGACCTTAAGGGAAATGAGTAGAAACAAAACTATTTTAATGGATTCACTTCAGGAAAAGTCGGACAAATTAAAGCATAGGGTTTCTGATGGAATTTCTGTTTTAAGAAAAGGAAACTATTTGGACAAACAGTTTCTTTATCACGTTTAGTAGAAATTATTTCTACACTATTGCATTGGAATTTGTATTCGGACAAAGTACGTTTCTTAATTGATATTTAAGATTAAGAAATACAAAGGAGAAATGCGACAAATATAGGTGAAAAACAGGTTTAATGGATTAAAGTTTTGGCACATTGAGGTTTGTATTATTAAATATTTTATCATTTTGTCCTTGAATTATCAATTTTTGAGTAAGTTTTGTCCTTTCATTTTATTTGATTTTTATTATTGACCAAAAACCTCTTCAAAAAAAATATTTTGAGATGAAATTTTCATAGATGATAAGAAAAATTCAGTCCACTTTCACAAATAATTTTAAAATTTCTTGAAGTCAATTTTTTTAACATTAAAAATTCAATAAATTATAAAAAAATAAGTTAAAATTATCTTAATTTTTTGAAAAAACTCTAAGGAGGTTATATGAATTTTATATATACTTTTAATGTGGTTCTCAAAATTAATCTATTTTAATCTTTGGATAGGTATTATGCATTTTACCATATAAATATTTCAATAATCATCTTGAGATTAAATAAGAGTAAATTATGAATTAGTCCCTTTCGGTTCAAGAAAGGATTTAATTAGTTCATTTTGTTTTAAAAATTAATTATCTAGTTTTTATATTTTATAATCTATTTTTAATTTAATCATTTTTACTCATTGTTAATTTATATTGGTTTTTTTTTTTGAGAAATAAAAAAATATGAAAAAAATATGGAATGATTATGAAAAAATAAGAGATTTTATAGACTAAAAATAATATTAAATATTCGATGGTATTCCACGACAAAGTAATGGCTTAGGTGCATTTTCAAAACCAATAATGGAGTTTCAGTAATGTTGGACGAAAATAGTTTTTTTTTTGAGTCGGATAAAATTAATCATTATCATAATTATTATTCCAATATTTGGTTTTTCGAATTCCATGCCACGCGACCCACATTGCGAGGATGTTGATTTTGAGAGAGAGAGAGGAATTGGCATGATCCGGAAAACATGGTAATGCTGAGAGGCGGTAAGGGACCCACAGAAGAGAAATTTTAGGGCATGGGGTTGGGCTTTGGGCAGAGAATAGAGAGAAAAGATATTTGTCACATGGTCTCCACATGGAGTTTTAAAAAGGATGGCCTTGTGTAGCTTCTCTCATAGTACATACAGATCTTCTTCAATAATTAAATACATATACGTATCTTCTGCTTACATATACATTGATTATAGACACAGATTTTTTGATAAATTTCAATTCGTCTATGTGAGATTGACATGCGTTTCCTCCGTTTTACTTTTAAAAAAATTGTTTATTCTAATCAAATCTTGTATTTTTTTTTTTTTAATTTTTGTTCCTCTCATGTATAAATTACAATTCAATCTTCAAAATTCACGAAAGATCTCAATATAACCCAAAAAATACAAATGAAAAAAATTGAAATTGAAAAAATCATTAAAGAAATACATTTTTTCAATAAAAATTATGATAAAAAGATTTTTTTATTATTATCAATATTATCTAGCAATCTTTTGACAATACAAAATAAAATTAGTTAAAAATAAATATGATAAAAAATATTTTTTAATAAAAAGTATCAACCATCATTGTTCTCACTAGCATATCATATCTACACTTTTTGTCCAATTTTGCAATGATAGCTTGAATATAGGACCATTTTGGCATAACCTAATTAAAGCTGATTATTTCAAATATCAAAAGTGTTATTTGATGGCAATATCAAATAAAAGAAAGAACATGAAGCCTAGATGAATCATGATAGTGAAGGTTTTGATGAAAAAAAGAGTAAATTTAATTTAAATCTTGATTTTTATTTAACTATTCTAAGAAAAATATGTTGGTAGGATTTTTTGAGAAGCTAACCGTCTCAAGTTTTTGTCATATTTGTTTGAATAAAAAAAAATACATTTTCTATTGATTTTCTATTTTTATTTTTTTAATTTAATTTAATTTATTTTTATTTTTGTTAATTTCAATTCGTTTATTTTTATTTTTTACATTTTGAATGATATTGAGATATTTTATAAATTTCAAGGATGAAATGAAAATTTATATACCTAATGGAAATGGATAGAGGGGTCAAACTGAAAAAAAAGTTAAATATATGAGAACTAATTGAAAAAAAAAGTACGATCTAATGGGAATAAAAATAAAAGATATGAGATCTAATTGAAAAAAATTAAAATTTTTATGTTAAATTGAAATATATAAACTTCTAGAGAACAAATAGAAATTTACCCTATTTTTTTAGCACTCATCCCAGCTTTTGTAGAACTTATAAAACCGTGTGTGTGTGATATATATATATATATATATATTAGTGAATGTCAAAACTACAATGAATTAAGGCATATATGTACATAATAAGAAATTTTATTTTACTCTAAAAATAACTAACAATACTTACTTTATACGAGAAAGATATACATAAACATAAGAAAGAAATAGGAAAGAACGATAATTAAAATAAAATAGCCTAGGTAGAAATATTCTTATAGCTTTTAGTGAATTTGAATATGATATATATATTTTTTATGTTGATTTTTCTTCTCAAAATGGACTCATAGATAATTATTATTAGTTACTACTTGAGAGTATTTTAAAATTTTTTTGTCCATATATATAACTACTCCAAGTTAATTATATATATATATAGAGAGAGATCATTTTGACAATGAAATACGTAGTTTATGTAATCGCTAATGTTTCGAGTGTATATCAATTTCCATTCATGTTGTAAAATAATGTTATCTAGTTTTGATATGGGCAAATGACTATACATGTTGAACCATTAATAGATTTAAAATGTATGGATTATTTTCAATATTTTATTCAGATTTAATGTTAATTATAGTTGGCTTAGGTTTTTAATGACATTCTAGACTCACTCTGAATTAATTATTAGATATTTTAAATATTTTCTGGTTTTTCTTTTTCACACTTTTGATCTTTTCTCTTTGCCATGATAAAATCAAGATTACTTAGTAATTAGCAAATATAATTTTGAACGAAAAATGGGTATAATTCATGCTCCTATATAGAAAATAAAGAATGTTCGTATTTATTATTATTATTATTATTAGTAGGGGTTTGGGGAAGGATGGGACCCAAAATGGAAAAATGATTGCTTTGTCATTGGATTAGAAAAGAAAATCAGGAGACTGGAGAGGCGCATGCGTTTGCCCTTTGCCTTTGTTCCCCGGAAGTCCCTCACTGTGTCTTTCAAACAAACAGTTATTTTTTCTTTCTCTTTCTCTCTCTTTCAGACAAAATACTCACACTTGTAGAAGTGAATGTGTAGCTTAGCTTAATTTGTGGGATTGCTATATCATGTGCACTAGTGGGCATCACACAGTATTCAATATATATGTGCACATATATATGCAGGAGAAAACGCCATTATTTCTGTCTCCAATGTGGTGGCCTTTTTTTTTTTTTTTTTAATAAATCACGATTTATTACTGAAATATAGCACTTATATGGCTAGTAAAGGCTTTTTTTTTTTTTTTTTTTTGTCAAATAGTACAACGCCAATTACAATATATATATATATATATGTGTGTGTACATTGCTTTTGGAGAATAATTTATCTGGAGCACAATATCGGGTTCAATGGTTCATGCTATACTCATATTTATTATCTCTTATAATTAAGATGAAGAACTATATGATACGGAAAATAAATATAAAATATTACTTCCATGAAAAAAGGAATTATTGATGAACAATAACATTCAATGATTTGTATATAGTTTTTTTCAAACTTTGATAGTTTTCTTACGAACTGTAATGACTATTAGTATTAAGCCTTTTTTTTTAATAATAATACCGATAGTAAGCATATAATTAATTTGTCAAAAAATGTCCAATCCAAACTTAATTTGCTAATCTATAGAACATAGCATATTAGAAAGATAGCAACGCCAAAAATTTCTGTGTATAATTTTATGTATTACTAATTTTTGGAGAAGAATTATCAAAGATGGAAAAAGAAAAACACCTAAATTAGGTACTCGCTATATGTCTCTATATATTCAATAGTAAAAGTAGTTTGCATGCACGGGCGAAGAGGGACCATGAAAA